GTTGTGCTCACGTCACAATAACCGATGTAAACAATCTGTTCCCAGATTTCCGCTCTATATATGCTGTGAGATTTGATTTTGACTTCATACACTATAAACTGTCTGCCTGTTTGCTGTTCAACAAATAAACTCCTAAAGACATGGCTTGGAAAAGCCAAGTATTTTTGCATACGTTATAACTCGAAAACAAAGCAAAAACCAGCGACAAAAATACAGGGCCGCGTTTTTCTATTACATTGAAGACCACATGCAAAACTTCAAGCCCTTTCGCAAATTTTTTTTTTTCACCCAAATCGTCACTTAGCATGGTTTTGCACTCACCCCTTCAATTATAGGTGTGATTAATAAAATCAGACCTCATAGCGTGAGTTCCATTTCAGGGCTGTGCTTTAGAAGTGCCTGGGTGCCCCAGGAGACTAACTTTTGACTTTGGGCGACTGGAAAAACTTACTTCTCTCGTATAAGCTTAAGTGCTGGTCACCCAGGATTTCAATGTTAGGAACCTTTGGGCTCCTTGAAGGTTTTCTTAGACCACAGCCTTGCATTTTTTGGATTTTGAGTATGACTGTAAAAGACAGAATTGGACAACACCAAGTCCTAGTACCAATCAGTCATAACTTTAAAAATAAACGGCATGCAATGCATGCAGAAGCGATGACATATAACTGCCATTCCTAAAATTCTGTCTAAAGTTGGAAAATAAACAAACAAATGGATGCTTAAACGTAACTAGAAGACAATAGACAAAATACAACAATGACTCCAGTCCTGATACCTGTGTTTTTAAAACAACTGGAAATCTAACCAGCACTTTGTCGATGCTACAAGCCGCCGAAAAACGATTTCACTTGATCCCGAAAATCAAGATGGCGGTTTGCAAGGAATATCGTATGCCAGCATTAAGCGATGACGCCATAAGTCATCGCTTAAAAATCTAGGAAAGCATTTACACAAGGCAAAGACCGCTAACAATTTATAATCTTGGTGACAAAATTTATTGAAACAAAGCCATTTCTGCAAGGTTTTGGGAACATAAAGAAGGAGTATTCAGTCACAAGAGGGAATGGTCCAAATAATGTGTGTTTGGCACATGCATTTTGTTAATGAGCACCTTGTTATTGAACAACTTAGATGCCTGTGCTACAATTATTTTGGTGAAAATAGTGTGTGTTGAGAACCAGTTAGGCCCAGTTCAGACGTCCTACTTCTGTCATGCCAAACTTAATTTTAATAAGGCTTGACTTTAGCACCGAAGAAACACAACTCTGATTAAGACGTCGTGCCAGAGTCATACCAAATTCAAGATTTACTGAAGCCACGTAACTATTCTCCTCGTTGCTCCCCGCGAAAATACAATCCCACTAAAATACGTTAGTGTGAAGCCTTGGTGCCATCTGGGTCATAGCTGCCGGAGCTTATCCCGGTTTTTGTGGCATGAAGCAACTAGGAGTATTTCTACTCCCCCTGGACAGGATACTAGTCCATCGCAGATCACTCCCTCGCAATTTGTTAGGTTTCCCCAACAATTCGCCGGTATCCATTCATACTCCTGGGTGGAGAGAGGCACTGTGAGAGTGTCTTGCCCAAGAACACAACACAATGTCCCCAGCCAGGGCTCTAACCCGGACCATTCGATCCGGGGGCGAGCGCACTAACCATGAGGCCATCGTGCCTCCACAATACATTAAATAAAATATATTTTATGAATTTTGCTTGGCGCAGCAGAATCGCTGCCGTGACAAAGTCATGTAGCTCGGCAGAGCTTGTCAAACTTAACTGCTTGCGGAACTTAATTCAAAAATTTGATATAGATGCCGGCGTTCTTCTGTCATGTTTGTTGAACTTAATTTCTGAATTTAGCTCAGCACGGCAGAGGCACGACGTCTGAACTACGCCTTTAGATTTGAAAATTTCTTAATAGTTATAATTGAGGGGGACGTCTTTTGCGTGCATGAAATTATTCAGGAAATGAACGTGTATGCCAGTGTAAATATCAATGGACATAGAATCAGAATTGTTTTTAACCAGCATGATTGCTAATTTCTTGTTAATGTAAACGTAATGAAGCCTAAAAACTGATTGCTAGGGTGTGTATGTATAAATGCATGTTTGATCTTTAGATTTGTACGTTATGCTAATTATCAACTACTTAGCAAGAATTTATTCAGTTTAAAATTAACTGAGAAGTGCAAATCAGACATAAACACTGTCAGAAGAGGTCACGTAAAATAAACCTAGGAATGACAAATAACGGTACATTATACATTGAACTTCTGAATTATTATTTCGTGAAAATTTACAGGTAACTTTTTTTGTCCCAAATTTCCTCTCCTAAATATTTATGAACAAACAGTTCCAGTGACAGATGTCATCTATCTTCCATAAAGAATAACAGTTTAAAGACATGGTCGCTCAATGGCTCAATCCCTCTTTCAAAAGACATGCGAGAGACATGTCTAGTTACATTACCTTTACTTATATAAATCTTAAAAGCATATATTAGTGATAATATAAATTAATAATATAAATCTTAAGAGCTTATTTTAGCGTCATTTTTGTACATCTAACCATTGACCACTCACAGAATGTATACTAAGCAGTACTGGCATCTAACGCTAATCAGTGTAAGGTGCTTGTCCTCTCAGGGGTTCATCTGCCCAAACTGTATGCAGACATGGAGTAACCAAGAAGAGTTATTACAGCATTGGCATTCTGCTCATGATCACCTGCCACAGGTGTGCTTACTATCCTCTAACTCTTGACAATTTGTAATATATCTTGTATACGACTCTGGTTTGAGGCAAGTGTACTCTTGACTAAATCTTAGAAAGAATGTTGAAGGAATCTTCTTGATGCTGCTCAGATACTTTGTAATTTTCTGCTACCATGGCTGCATTTACTGCCTTAACAGTTGGATTTTGAAAGCTGTTGGAATATGTCAACAGTTCATAGATTAACCAATTAAAGATACTCCTTATGTCTAGCCTTTTCCTACCTCGCCTTTTCCAACCTCTTTCCAAGGTAATAACATCGCTGTGTTCAGACTTCCTAAAGTTACCTTTTATCAGTAGAACTTTATCCGTTTTATTTGATTCCGTCATTGGTAAATGCGTTGACGGTTCCCTCGTCTTTTCAAGAATGCTTTTTTTCTAAAATCAACTTCAGATAAAAATTAGGTCTTAAAGTAAGAGGTACAATAACAACCAGGCATCGTAAAAGATCTATAAAAATGTTTTGAAAAACTAAATAAAATTGTAGTTACCTCATAACATAAATGTATTGACGAAGACAAGATAAACATAGAGATGAATTATAAGCACTAATTAACTCTAGATCTTGAAGTAAGGAAATGTCCATTCCGGCAAGTTTCTCACGTGACCTTAATATTCTATAGGGGGGCACCAAGGAATGATTCATCATGTTCATAAGACGAGGCGACTGTTAAAAGCCTTGGAGAGTGATCAAAAGAAAAAGGGAGTAACCAAAGCTTTATCAGACTGCCGTAAAGAAAGACCGTTTGGATGGCACTAATCAATAATCGTCATAAAAATGGAGCATTCTGAGGGAGCGAGAAACTTCATAAATGAACTACCATGCACACAGATGCTACACTCAATGTTGAGCCATTTTGCTGCCTTGTGTTTCACGACGGATATCTCGGATTCAGTATAACCAATGTGAGCACGCCAGAAACACTTTTGATTGACATGGTGTACTTGACTGAGTCGACTGTACCTGAAAGAAGGTCCAAGTACCAGTCAGCAAAGTTGCTGGTAGCAGACCTGTTTACATCATTGCACCTTGAGTATTCGAGTTTTTTAAAACTGCATAACCTGGTTGAATTCTGAAGTGTTGACCACGTTACTGCTAAGTAAGCTCCTTGTTTGACCAACATATCCTGATTGTATTGTTCTCACGACCAATGTGCGAGATTTTTACGGTTGATGTTCGTGATTTTTTTCAAATGTTTGTTTTTAGGCTTAGCCTGGTCTTCCTGTTTACTAAGAGAGGATGAAGGGCGAGATTATTCGACTTGATCCCAAGGTTATCCTTCTCTTCAGAAGCTCTTTTCAGACTCTCCGGTCTTCCCTTCTACCTGGAACGACTAGAGAATAAAATTTACCGGAGGCAAATCTGTTTCCATCCTTTGTCTAATGAGCGCTTTCGCGCCGTAACCCTGACTCTAAAACAACTGCACTCTAGAACCGAACTTATTCGGTATTGACAATTTAAACCCGATCCTTTTGTTATTATTGTTGTTACCTGTTAAATTAAAGGTGATATTTTGTAGAAGTATGTTCTTTGTAGAGTTTTTGAATAAGGTCCCCCCCCCCCCCCCCCCCCCCCCCCCCCCC